CTCTAACACCTCCAGAGGAGGAGACACCAACAGACACCTAAGTGAGGTATATAACACTAGAGTTGGAAGGGGAACCCAAAGGTCATCCAGCCCTTCTGCAATAGAGGGAGGCACCATCAAACCACTTCCGATAGATGACCAGCCAGTCTCTGCTTTAAAACCTCCAGAGGAGGAGACATCAACAGATACCCAAATGACACTAGAGTTGGAAGGGGAACACAAAGGTCATCCAACCCTTCTGCAATAGAGGGAGGCACAATCAAATCCCTCCCAACAGATGGCCAGCCAGCCTCTGCTTTACACTAGAGTTGGAAGGGGTGCCCAAAGGTCATCCAACCCTTCTGGAACATAGGGAGGCACAATCAAACCCCTCCTGACAGATGGCCAAATCCAGTCCAACCCTTCTGCCATAGAGGGAGGCACCATCAAACCACCCCCGATAGATGGCCATCCAGCCTGTGCTTAAAAACATCCAGAGGAGGAGACAATGACACACACCTAAGTGAGCTATACAGCACTAAAGTTGGAAGGGGTGCCCAAAGGTCATCCTGTCCAACCCTTCTGCAATAGAGGAAGGCACAATCAAATCCCTCCCAACAGATGGCCAGCCAGCTTCTGCTTAAAAACTTCCAGAGGAAGAGACACCCAAGTCAGCTATATAACACTAGAGTTGGAAGGGGTGCCCAAAAAGTAATCCAGTCCAACCCTTCTGCAATAGGGTGAGACACCATTAAACCACTCCCAATAGATGGCCAGTCAGCCTCTGCTTTAAAACCTCCAGAGGACACATCAACAGACACCCAACACTCGAGTTGGAAGGGGTACCCAAAGGTCATCCAACCCTTCTGTAATAGAGGGAGGCACCATCAAACCACTCCCGAGAGATGGCCAAACCCAGTCCAGCCCTTCTGCCATAGAAGAGACACCCAAGTGAGCTATATAACACGAGTTGGAAGGGGTACCCAAAGGTCATCCAGTCCAACCCTTCTTCAATAGTGGGAGGCACCATCGAACCACTCCCAATAGATGGCCAGCCAGCCTGTGCTTTAAAAACTCCAGAAGAGGAGACACCAAAAGACACCTAAGTGAGCTATATAGCACTAGAGTTGGAAGGGGTACCCAAAGGTCATCCAACACTTCTGGAATAGAGGGAGGCACCATCAAACCACTCCCAATAGATGGCCAGCCAGCCTCTGCTTTAAAACCTCCAGAGGAGACATCAACAGACACCCAAAACTAGTTGGAAGGGGGACCCAAAGGTCATCCAGTCCAACCCTTCTACAATAGAGGGAGGCACAATCAAACCACTCCCGACAGATGGCCAAATCCAGTCCAACCGTTCTGCCACAGAGGGATGCACAATCAAAGCCCTCCCAACAGATGGCCAGCCAGCCTCTGCTTAAAAGCCTCCAGAGGAAGAGACACCAAAGTGAGGTATATAACACAATAGATTTGGAAGGGGAACCCAAAGGTCATCCAGTCCAACCCTTCTTCAATAGAGGCACAGTCAAACCACTCCCGACAGATGGGCAAACCCTTCAGAGAAGGAGACAACAGCAGACATCCACATGAGCTTTATAACACTAGAGTTGGAAGGGATTACCGAAAGGTCACTCAGTCCAACCTTTCTTCAATTGGGGGAGACACCATCAAACCGCCCCCGATAGATGGCCATCCAGCATCTGCTTTAAAACCTCCAGACAGAGGAAGAGACAACAACAGACACCTAAGAAAGGTATAACACAATAGATTTGGAAGGGGTACCCAAACGTCATCCAGTCCAACCCTACTGCAATAGAGGGAGGCACAATCAAACCACTCCCGACAGATGGCCAAACCTTTCAGAGAAGGAAACTCCAACAGACACGCAAGTGAGCTATATAACATTAGAGTTGGAAGGGGTACCCAAAGGTCATCCAGTCCAACCCTTCTGCAATAGAGGGAGGCACAATTAAACCGCTCCCAATAGATGGCCAGTGAGCCTCTGCTTTCAAACCTCCAGAGGAGGAGACACCAATAGACACCTAAGTGAGGTATATAACACAATATATTTGGAAGGGGTCCTCAAAAGGTCATCCAGTCCAACCCTCCTGGAATAGAGGGAGGCACCATCAAACCACTCCCAATAGATGGCCAGCCAGCCTCTGCTTAAAAACCTCCAGAGGAGACATCAACCAACACCCAACACTAGAGTTGGAAGGGGTACCCAACGGTCATCCAACCCTTCTGGAATAGAGGGAGGCACCATCAAACCACTCCCGACAGATGGTCAGCCAGTTTCTGCTTAATATCCTCCAGAAAAGGAGACACCAACAGATACCCAAATAACACTAGAGCTGGAAGGGGAACCCAAAGGTCATCCAGTCCAACCCTTCTTCAATAGAGGAGGCACCATCAAACCACTCCCGATAGATGGCCAGCCAGCCTCTGCTTAAAAACTTCCAGAGGAGGAGACACCACAAGACAGCCAAGTGAGCTATAAAACACTAATTGGAAGGGGTACCCAAAGGTTATCCAGTTTTGCAATAGAGGGAGGCACAATCTAATCACTCCCAACAGATGGCCAAACCTTCAGAGACAGAGTCAACAACAGACAGCCACATGAGTTATATAGCACTAGAGTTGGAAGGGTTACCCAAAGGTCATCCAACCCTTCTGCAATAGGGGGGGGGCACAGTTAAACCACTCCCGACAGATGGCCAAACCCTTCAGAGAAGGAAACTCCAACAGACACCCAACATTAGAGTTGGAATTGGAACCCAAAGGTCACCCAGTCCAACCCTTCTGTAATAAAGGGAGGCACAATCAAAGCCCTCCTGACAGATGGCCATCCAGACTCTGCTTTAAAACCTCCAGAGGAGGAGACTCCGCCAGACTCCCAGCGCAGCGGCATATTCCACCGTTCTAAAAATAATTGTATTGATATGACAGAAGAGATTGGCTTACAGTCTCCCATTAACCCTTATGAGGGCTGTGCAAAGCTTCAGAGTTTAAGTTTTCTGGGCTGTTCTGGCCATGTTCCAGAAGCATTCTCTCCTGACGTTTTGCCCACATCCTAAGAGATTCTGTTGAAAATTAGGCAAGTGGGGTTTATATATCTGTGGAATGATGTCCAGGTGGGAGAAAGAACTCTTGTCTGTTGGAGGCAAGTGTGAATGTTGGCATTGACCAGGCTGGTTAGCACTGAATGGCCTTGCAGCTTCAAAGCCTGGCTGCTTCCTGCCTGGGGGAATCTTGCATAGAGGTCTGCTAAAAAAGCTAAATGACAAAAAGCTAAATCACAATACAGAAAAAAGGGAAAGAAAGAAGGAAGGAAGGAAGGAAGGAAGGAAGGAAGGAAAGAAGGAAGGAAGGAAGGAAGCATGGAAGCAAAGAATGAAGGAAGGAAAGAAAGAGGTAGGGAATAAAGAAATGAGAGAAAGAGGAAGGAAAAGAAAGAGGCAGAGAAGGAAGGAGAGTAGGAAAGAAAAAAGAAAAGGAAGGAAAGAGGGAGCGAAGGAAGGAGAAAGCGAGGAAAGGAGGGAAAGAAGGAGAGACAGTGGGAGGGAAGGAAAGAGAGAAGGAAAGATAGAAGCAAAAATCAAAGGAAGGAAAGAAACAGGTAGAGAAGAAAGGAGAGAAGGAAGGAAAGAGAGAAGGAAGGATGGAAGCAAAAAGCAATGGAAGGAAGGAAGGAAGGAGAGAAAGAGGAAGGAAAAGAAAGTGAGGAAATAGGCAGCAGAGGAAGGAGAGAAAAAAGGAGAGAAAGCGAGAGGGAAGGAAAGAGAGAAGGAAGGAAATAAAGAGGTAGGGAAGGAAGAAAAGAGAGAAAGGGGGAGGGAAGGAAAGAGAGAAGGAAGGATGGAAGCAAACGCGATAGAAGGAAGGAAGGAGAGAAAGAAGAAGGAAAAGAAAGGGAGGGAGGAAATAGGGAGCAAAGGAAGGAGGGAAAAAAGGAGAGAAAGCAGGAGGGAAGGAAAGAGAGAAGGAAGGAAAGAAAGTGGTAGAAAAGGAAGAAAGGAGAGAAAGGGGGAGGGAAGGAAAGAAGGAAAGAGAAGGAAGGATGGAAGCAAAAAGCAAAGGAAGGAAAGAGT